CAGGCGGCTCCGCCCCCTGCTCTGCCGGCCAGCCTTCCCCCGGGACCTGCCCTTGGGGCGGAGAGGCCCGAGGAAAGAGGGGACCTTGCCAGGTGCCTTCCCTGACTGCGCTGCTGAGGAGGGCGGTGGCTGGCACGGCGGAAGGGAAATTAATCCGTTTCTGTGGGCTTGTCGGCAATGGCAAGGACAAGCACCCGGCGCCCTTGTAAGTGGCCCTTCGTGCTCGGTGGAGGCCCGGTGGCCGCTAGCCTCTGTGCACGAGTGGGGTGAGGCGAGGGACGGCTGGTGGTAATGACAGTGCTCTCATTGCAGTGTGTAGGTGTGCTTCCTAATGGGAAAAAATCCTTCTAAAGTGCTTTTAAAATTTGTTACGTGTTCTGAAGTCAATACAGAGCATCACAGTCTGTGAAACTGGAAATTTAGAAGCTGTGAAGCCTTTATAGAACGAGAGAGATAGCACCTGGTGAGAAGTTGCCTTCCCATTTATCTCCACCATGGGTGTCTGTCTCCCACTCTTGCTGCTCAGTCCCAGCGTATGTGTATTTGAATGCATGTAAAGGTTCTGCGTAACGTCATGTTCCCCAAGCAAAGGGCGAGATCCTTCTTTTCAGAGGCAGCTGTGACATTCCAGATTCTTGGGAAGGCTGGTTAGTAGTGATCAACTTTGAATTTTCATTTTCAGGTTTTATATAAATGTATATGTATGCGTATTTTTTAATAAATGGCTCTTGTAATAAGTTTGTTACATGTAACTGGTCCCTGATACCTTGGGTGAATTACAACTTTGTTATACTGCAGTTGCTGTACAATGCAGTGATTCATGGGGCCAGCCCAAACAATTGTACGGCTGCGTCAACCTACATCTGTTCTTGGTTGAGACAAGCAGCATTGGCATGGTGGATATTCATGACTATAGAGATCAGATCAAATAGGAAGGAGACCTTAGTGAATATACTGGATTCTTTGACCATGCTGCCTTCGTTAGGGAAAAATGAGTCTGGTTTTTAGAGTCTTTGTTGAGAGAAAAGTATTGTAAAAATGTGTGTAAAATATCCAGACTTGGACTTGTAAGATGTATTATATGTATAGAGTAGGGAGGGTGTTGTGTATTTTCTAATTGCTACAAATATCATAAACAGGAATGCTAAAGTATTTACAGTGATGTAAATGCTCTTTACAGGAAGTATGTATAGAAGCAGGTAGGAAGAAGGCATCATGCTGACATCCTGCCCCAGAAAATTTATTTGGTACTTATTCTTGGGACAGTAAAATTCAGTTTTTCTTGCACTGCTGAGAAGTCTTGGGTGGTGGTCATGACTTCCTGGAAGAGAACCTAATACACAGTCTCCCAATTACAGCTGTTCATGAAATGCAAGAGCAATATTAGATATCAGAGTCTCTGGTTCCTAATCTTGGTCTGGAATAAGAGCATTGTCTGTTGGCCAGAGCACTGATCAGCTAGACTAGCCAAATGCCTAGGTTTTATATATTTATTCTCAAATGTTACAAATGGAAATAGGGAGGCTGGTTTTATTCCTAGGATTACATGATTTGTGCAATTTCTTTAGTTTTGCTTTGGAGTGGGAAGGATATGCTAGTTGTCTGCTGTTTAGGATAAAGCTATGAGGTCATGATGAGTAATAATGGCTGTGAACAATACTTACCTGAAGAAATGTAACCAGAACCCAAGATCACTTGGCTACCATTTGAGGCTGAAGAACAGTCTGTGACAAAGGCGGCTGCTTTGCTCTACCACTGACACAGGGAGGGATCACAAGACTGGACAAAACTTGAATATCAGGTCAAATAGTGAACACTTGGTAGGTTTAGACTTTTTTTTCTTTTTTTTCTGAACATGAAATATAAAAACATAATAGGATACATAAAAACATGATAGGACAAGGGGTAATGGTTTTAAACCAAAAGAGGGTAGACTTACATTGGACGTAAGGAAGAATTTTTTTGCGATGAGGGTGGTGGAACACTGGAACAGGTTGCCCAGAGAGGTGGTAGATGCCCCATCCCTGGAAACATTCAAGGTCAGGCTTGACGGAGCTCTGAGCAACCTTATTGAGTCGAAGATGTCCTTGCCTGTTGCAGGCAGATTGGACTAGATGACCTTTAAAGGTCCCTTTCAATGCAAATTATTCTATGATTCTATAGTGGCAGACCTCTTAACATCCCATAAATAGCTTAAAGATCCTGAAATCTAAAACCAGATTTGTGCCATTTTATTGTTCAGGAGTTTATTGGACAGCTTGGGGTATGTGTTCTCCATTTGTCCGCTCTTCTCAGAGTCAAAATGTGATCCTAAAATACATATATAACCATTTGTAAATTTGAGAAAAAACTCCTTACTCCCTGACAGAGCGAGAGTTGTCATTCCGTCCTCATCTCTTCCTCTTAACAAGACCGGATATGCAGCTGCTCCATTCAAATGCTTGCTTTATTCTCCCCAACAATCTCCTCCTTCAATTCACTCTCCCTCATCCCCTTTTTCTCTCAGTTTCTTTCCACTTTTTATTCTTCATGCTTCTTTCTTTGCATTGGCAATTTCCACTGTAAATCTCAGGTTGCATCTTGCCATTTTTTCATTTTTTAAACTATCGCGTCCCATATCATCCCTTAATAGATTCTTCTTTGTTCCTTCCTTCTACCTCCCTGATGTTCATTGTACTGTCTCACTCCGTCTGCTCTTAACCTTCACCTGGTAGTAGCTGCATTTGAGCCCAGAGAGAACTATCCTGAGAACAGACTCCCTTTTGCCAATGCAAAGTGAGGGGAAAATGATTGCTGCTAATTGAGATTTGACTGAGTTCAGCCTCACTGATAGTAACTGGAGCTGGCAGCCATTTTGAATTCAATAAAACTGCATGTTTGAAGGCAAGTACAGAACTTAACGAAAGTCACCAAAACCAATATAAGCTATTTAGGGCTTAAAATTGAGCCCTAAATTTGGCTGTCAGGTAATGTTGGAAGATCAACTTCAAAAATATTAAATTGTTTGATAACAAATTTATACAGATTTAAGCTTAACAAAGAAGTTGACAAGCAATTACTGTAAGAATAATATGGAGGTATATTAAATATTTATCTGACCATTTCAGCAAGGCCTGAAAAAAGAGGCCAAATAATGAAGGAGCAATACCATAATACACTTCTTTTGATCTGGCAACATTAAGACTGTTGGAATTATTCACAGTTTTCAACAAAGCTAAGTAACCTGGGAATATGGAAGTATTCTATTTTGGCAAAACTGCATTTTAACTGCTATGATAGTAATATGCAAAATTAAGTTACAAGATCAGTTAGGCATTTTTTTATCTATTTGATTCCATCATTAAAAAGACAAGGAGCCCTCAATTAAGCTAAAATGAAAAAAATTAAACTGAGAAAAATGTTTCTGCAATAAAACTAATTTTTTTCAGAAACAGAATAATTCATTTTAACCTTCAAGCTCGTTGGAATATTCACTTCCTAGCAAAAAGGCTAGCATGGTTTGTTAGTCATAGTAGGCTTAAATTGCTTCATAATGAATTTCATAAAATAAAAATACACTCAATACAATGTTAATTGAGTTAGCTAGGCTTATTTGGGCCTTTCTTACATTTGTTTCTTTGGAACTGGCCCAGGTCAAGTAATTCAGATACCAGATTGAATTAAGCTCTTGTGTTCTGATACAGCTGTTGTTATTATCTTTTAACTTCAGTTACAAGAGAGTTGGCTGGTAGAAACAAAAAATGTTTTTCTTCTAGTGTCTAGTTGATCAAAAACTGTCTTTATGTCCTCATTTTCTTTGGTTCTGGAGTGCTTTTCCATTTGTAAATATCATAATGAGCACTCGCCTTATCTTAATAATTGATCTACAAAGTGAAGCTGTCTCCTGGGAAGAACTGACAGCAAGGGTGTGGTCCCTTCCACATGAATCCTCAAATCATCTGAAAAGCAGTAATCCAGAAGTAAATAGGGACATAAAGGAGGGGTATAGAATGCCTAGAGCCAGCCCTGTGCTAGCTGGGATATTTCAACAAATGAGGTATTTTCAGCTGCTGTAAGAAAGCAGTTTTCCTGCCTTTAATGATTCAGAGTAGCACAAACAGGTTAGAGCAAGTGTTGAGAAACTCATAATTACAGCATTGATTTAAGGCAGGCAGACCGTACAGTCCAACATAAACAGACTGTAGAAAGCAGACATGAGTGTTTTAACAATCCGTTTTCAACTGCCCTAACTTACCTTTCTCAGCTTTAGTCATCTCTCTCTCACCTATAAAGCTATGCATATTTCATCCTTTGAAAAATCAGCCTGCAATTTTATTAAAAACTGATATTTTCACACTTCTGATTTCAACTATATAATTTCCATACAAGCACTAGTATTTGGTCTTGAATAATTAGTCTCATGAATAATTACCCAGAATAAATATCTAGAATAATTCATTGACCAGTACAAGACAGACGACGAGTGCCAGTAAACAAAATACTGAAAACTTTACTCAACCTACATTAATCATCAAAATATTAATATCTTATGAGAGGAACTCTTGTCAGACTGTATATTGATGTCCACATCAATATATGGAGATTATTGGAGATATATGGGTAGTGGAAGGGAGGTAGTTGAAATGCGGAACCACAGCGTGCGGATTAGTTGGAATGTTAAATAGTAAAATTTGCACCTTTTTTTCTGAGTAGCTTCTTTTTTTGGTAGAATTTTCAGTGTAGTAACAATAACTGAGTAATGAAAAAGTGGTAGCCTGGAAATTGGAAACTATTCAAATAGTACAACTTTTGCCTATATGCTGATTTTGATTTGTTTTAAATTTTCATACTCTACTTATTTGCGTTTGAATTTCAGAATTACTTTTGAAATTGTATTATGACAGGTGATTATTTAATATTTTCTTCCGCTAAGCAACATAGCACAATCTCATTTGTAATAGCTGTATATTTTATAGCTGGTGTGAGCTTATAATTAATTTCTTATACTAGAAGTCTGGAGTTTGGAAGGAAGTTTGGAAATACTAGAACTGTTTCTTTGTCTGGCGATAGTTGTTCTGAATAGGTAGTTATTTGATCTGGGCTTACAAATTAAACTGTTAAAAACTCTTATTTAATTACTCACTTTCAGCCCAATCTGACAGATATTTGTTTTCTCAGAGCTGGTGATTCAGATTGCAGCAATTTTCCCTGGAAAGAGGGAGTGTGCACGTATGTTTTTTTCCGTTCGTGCCCTCTTCCTTTCAGTCCAGGCAGCCCTGAAATGCCATCTATAGCTAAGACTTCAACCCCCATGATTCCATGGGAGCGCATGCGCTGAAAGCTTCCAGTTGTCAAAGTGCTCTTGCCAGAGTGGTCGAGTATTTGTCATATACCAAACCTGAAAGAAGAAAATAAATATAACTGTCATTTTGTTGATCTTTAAATACAGAAAATCCAAAGGTAACTGTTCTTTAAAAATGTCTGTGTTGGCCGCGTGGGTTACTGCATGCAAATGGAGCTGGTATTGCTATGGGGATATAGATTTCCTGTACTGGATTTTAAATTTGTACAAATACTTACCCCAGCAAATAATCAAGAGGTACTGCATATTAGTCCAACATTAGACATCGGCTGGCCTGTCTTTCAAAGTAATTTATTATCCAGTGTTTTTCCATTCAGACTGGCTTCATTCATTAAAGGTAGGTCTTGACCTTGACAAGAGGGTTGAATTGTGCAGTGATTTTTTTACCTTTAAAAAGCAATACAAAAATGAATGTGGGTTACAGTCCTAGTTCAAAAACAGCTATCTAAGTCAAGCTACATATTTGAAGCAACTGCTGTGCTAACCACTATAGATAACCTGGTGACTAACTGATTTAAATATACTTTATTGACGACAGAATTTTAACATTTCAGCTGCTATGTTTTTCTCTCTAAATATATTTTTGTACTTATAGCTCAAAGCCAGGGGAGGGATAAATATAATCTTTTTCTCTCTTCGATGTGGGATCATCAGTAATTTTATGTAGTCTTAGGAGTAATAGTGATTTTGATAGAAATGAAGCTAATGGAAAGCTACACAGAGCTTGATATATTACGGCTCACTGCAGTATTGCTTTAAACTGCCTTGCAAGGTTTGCTGCACCCCCAGCAGCAGAGCTGCCTGTTACAGATGCAATAGTTTACCCCAGTCTTCTTAGGAACTCGCCTTAATGTTCTCTCACTGCATCATCTGTTCATGAGCCCTTGCTGTTCGGTTTACATGTTAAACAGGTAAATAATAGGGAGCATGAGCAGTAACTTAAATGATAGCAGAAACCTGTCCTGACATTCATTTTAACTAAAAAGTGTGTGTATGGCTCAGAAGAGATTTAAAAGAAAGAAAGAAACAAAAAATGTTAGAGAGGCACATGGACCATCTGAAAACTGTTGATGTCAGAAAGCAGAGTCAATTTCACTCCTTGCCACCTTTCTTAAACAGTTAATTGATTTGGCTTAACTTTACTTTGTTACATTAAAACAATGATCCTTAAAAAAAAGGCTGTCTTAGGAATGCACGTGTCATATGATTAACTCAATAGAAATGCAATTAGGTATTCAGTGATGACTATCTTTGACATAGTTAATTTAAAGTAAGTGATTTTTGGCTCATTTAAAATACTTCTGAGATTTAGAACTATCCCTTCCATTGACTAAAAGTCTGCAAAATGTGGAGGTTCCTGTTCTAGTTTCATACAGTTGCTGTTCATTGATGTCTGTATATGCATTAGTACTACTGTGATTCAAAATAATAATCAAATTATATGATCTGTCCTATTTCCTATGAAGCACCATTTCTTGCAGATATAAAACTCAACCATTCTACACACATTTACTTTTTAAAGTTTAAACTTATGTTTTGATTTAGCAAATAATTTGCATCGTTTGTCTTTGTCTTGTGCATATAAAGATGGCTTTTAAAATGCGCCATGTCTATATTTTAGATATTTCAATTTGCCCCATTTTTATTTTTCATTGTGAAAGCATTGGAAACATTGTGGTCTAATAACACCTCCCAGATTTGCTAGTTTTGACCTTATTTTTTTCCAATGAACGAGTTACTGATGATTTTATTATATATAGAAATACAGCGAGGAGGAATACCTTCAAGTAAAGGACTGCTTTGATGTAAAATAGCGTTTTACGCGGAAAGATCGTGAGATCACTGACGGCAGATAAAACACCCGT